GGACGCCGAACTGGACTATGTAGCCTTTGTAAAAAGCTATTCAATTCTATTTCAGCTATAGAACTACATTATAAATGTATATGTTATAAACGTTTTAGGGCTCCTGGGACAGTTTGTTTGTTGATTGTAATGGATTATCACGATACCGCTTCAGTCTTAATCTGACCGCTTCAGTGTTTTTACCATAGATTCTCTCAAGAAGTATAAACCTGTATTTATGAAAAAATCGTTTTAGCTGAAGTACTTACTTCTGATACTTATTCTATCACAAACACTGCTAATATTTTCAGTATCTTTCTATAACAGACACTGTTACTATTTTTAATGTTATTCTATAACACACACTGTTACTATTTTTAATGTTATTCTATAACACACACTGTTACTATTTTTCAATATTATTCTATAACAGACATTGTCACTATTTTTCAATATTATTCTATAACAGACACTGTAACTATTTTTCAGTATTATTCTATAACAGACATTGTCACTATTTTTCAGTATTATTCTATAACAGACAATGTCACTATTTTTCAATATTATTCTATAACAGACACTGTTACTATTTTTCAATATCATTCTATAACACACACTGTTACTATTTTTCAATGTTATTCTATAACACACACTGTTACTAATTTTCAATATTATTCTATAACACACACTGTTACTATTTTTCAATATTATTCTATAACACACACTGTTACTAATTTTCAATATTATTCTATAACACACACTGTTACTATTTTTCAATATTATTCTATAACACACACTGTTACTATTTTTCAATATCATTCTATAACACACACTGTTACTATTTTTCAATGTAATTCTATAACAGACACTGTTACTATACGTATATCTTTCATACTGTGCATACTTTATCGTTCTTTTTTTCGCCGTACATGAAATTGAATATGTATGTAGTTGAAATAGTTTCGATAATTTGTCATATGTAATCTTGTGTGCTATAACAGTTCGTGACGAATGTATTAATATATTTAAAGGATATCAAGGGTATCGCAATGATTTTAAACTGTGAATTGGTTCATGAATTATTCACATTTCCACTTAGTTTACGTTGGCGTTGATGGAACAAAATATTTCAGCATATTTTGAACATAGGAATGACCACGTATGTTAAGGGCATGATTCTGCTCAACTTTTGGAGCAATCAAAGTAAGAAAAAATATACCAGTTTTACACCAAAACACTCAGCTACATGTTTTTTTTTATGTAATTACTTAACTTCAGGTCTCCATTTACGGGTGGGGTCGGACGAAATGGGTAGTTTTGCTCATTTTCCAACTTTTAGCCTATTCGTTCCGTATAGGTTTAAAGTTTGGCCAAAAAGATAACCATACTTAATATCAAAGTTCAACAGTGAAGAGATCCAAGGTGGTAAAAAGTGCATGTTCATGGCGATTAGTAAATGTGATGTTCCTTGCTGTTCTATTGGCTGTTAAATAGCCAACAGTTAACATTCTTTTCAACATTATTGAAATTTTTCCCACGTTTTCATTCTACCTTTTTGATTGGTTATTTACTAAACAGGGACACGTGACAGCAGATGGTATAAGACATGTAATGATGATAAATATTATCAATGCAAACTGTGTTTCTACAGTGTTAATAGTTTGAATTATGTTGTTAACCAATATTCCATTAAAAGTACGCAAGCACTTTCATTCCATTCACACTAGCAGCTTGCTGTGGCATATTGAAAGAAACAAGTTCATTGAGTGATAAACTGAACACCTGCCTAGCTGATTTAACCGAGAGGTATTACTATCGACAGCCAAGTTCACATAAATACACTATATATATTTAACATTACATGTATATGTTTTGAAAATTTTGGAAGAAGACAAATTTTGACTCAAGCCGTGTCCGAGCTTAAAACTAAAGATCTACGGCAAAAAATCGCCTTGACAAATTAGCCGAACTTTCATATTTGATGATACTTCAATTAATTATCGTGAATTTTCTTTATTTTTGCCCACAACTGTGAAAATGTTCAATAGATTGGAAATATGTTTCCTGTGTTGACAACGCACGTCATTGGTGAATAATAAGGATGTTTTTGGTGTGAAAGACATTTACCCGAAACACTTTATAGCTGGTGTGTACAAATGATAGATATCTAAAGGAAATAAGACATGTAATAACGACAGACAAAATTACAACAGCTGAGAACATTCAACACATTCAGACACGAGACTATTAATCTATTCTTACACGCTCTCAGGTTTATTCTTACAAACTGTTAACTGTGTGAAAAAAATGTCACCAAAAAATTGAAATTCCTTCTTTTCCTGCACGAACTCAGATAAAAGTTGAAACAGGAATGCTCATATCATCAGGTGCAAGCTGCTGCTCAAGTCACTTAAAGCTAGACAGATATAGGAAATAATTAATTGGTATTATTGAACCGCGATATCAGAATAATGAGGTAAAAAGAACAGACAGTGTAACAAAAGTGTATCATTACAACTTCTATCGAAATAGTTTAATACCGTATCCTGGTAATTTTGAACGGGTCCAAATTTTCGCGATTTTCTAATGAAGCGATCAAATTATTTACATACGTAATAAATAAAGGAAATTTCGTGATCTTGATGTCAAAGTACATCTAAACGTGTCTCGTTAATTCACGGATTTGATTTTCACGGTCACGTTAGTGTACCGTGACACCAGCTATACGGTATAACAGATCGGTATTATAACCAATTCACTTTGATGACAAGCTGTAGTGTTTAACGTCGCTGTATCTAATTCTAAAGTGTAGCTTTTGTGCAATCCTTGACGCAAAAATATTTTTCTATAGATATTATGTTACTTGGGATTCGAAGATCGCAATTCTATTTGGGTTGTATTTAAAAATTCACAGAGATAAAGAAAGATGAACGCTTCTAGGGGGACAGCAGATGTAATGATTTTATCATTCATTAGATGAACTTGCCGTGGTGGAATTCAAGGGAAGTAACTCGTAATACGATATGTCCTTAGATACATGCCACCGAAGGACAAGACCCAGCTTGAAATTGATATAACTTAGACATTGAACATCACCAAATAGACGTTTATGTCTTTTTTAAAGGACATAATAAAGCAATGACTATATATCAGTTCACGTAATTGAAAATATTACAAATTGTGAAATGTTATTTAGTATGTGATATATAGTTAACAATGAGTTGCTAATATTTTAAACATCACTATGTAAAATGTACAACTGGATATTTCGATATTCTTGCAAATGAAATTCTTTCTGGAGAGAACGGGTTACACATATATAAGAATCTATGATAATCATTCAATAGCATATAATGTCTATTTACTTTATTGATAATTAATGTTAAAATCATTATATCAAGAGAAGAGAAAATATTTACCGAAATAGGCGAGTTGGAGTTATCAATTGGAGTTATCTCCCTTGCACAAAATGTTTACAAACTTGTCAAAATTGAAATGGATATACATTACATTCAGTTTGAAAAAAGGAAGGATCGTTTTTTTGTTTTTGTTTTGTTTTGTTTTTTTTCCGGTTTAATTTTTTGACAAATTGGGAAATACAGTAATAGCATGATTTTTTTTGTATAGGTTTTAAAGCAGTCTAAGCCAGCATTTGGGATTGGATGTTTTTAGATAAATACAACCAGATTTTAACACAAAAAGTAAGGAATAAATACATTAATAAAGAAAGGAAACGAAAGAAAGAAAAACTCAAAGCAAAGGAGAATGAAATTTAATGGAAGTGTTCAGGAATCAACATTATGGTTGACTCTTTGTTAGGCAACGGTACCCATGTTGACAGCAGTGGCGGTGTCATGGTCGACGACAATTTTCCTATACGCGATTATTGCAAGTTGAAATATCGCACTGTGACCTGGACGATGGCAATAAGTGCAATTTCTGTTCGCTTTAGATGCGAGCATACATATCAACGGAAATGAGACAAATGTACACCACCAATTATGTTTGTATTCGGTTTAGAGGATTTGTCTGGTCGAGGAATATAAAAAATGTATAAAAACAAATCTCGATTTTATACTTTTATACCGAACTGTTATACCACTTTCCATCACAAGACTGTATTAGGACCCCTCATTTGTTCGAATTTGGTAGTATTGACCTGCTTTATCACTGGATTCAAGTTTGGGTTTAATATGTATCATATATGTATACGGTATGTATATCATTCATTTGTTTATTTATTTATTTATTTATTCATTTATTTATTTGTATTCTAAATCTGTTTGCCAATATATTTACCCCCCAATTCCGATATATATCATTGATTGTTGTGCGCTACTAGACTTGACTGTTATATGGACTGGTTCGAATGCTTCCTGGATTACTAGCCTGTTTTGTAGCCAATAAACAGAGACACCGAAGGAAGCATGTTTCACAGACATTCTACTCCCATGCAACATGGACTATTTCATTTAATAGCGTCGAACGCCCGCACTTTCATTGACACAAGGTTATTACTATTTGTTTTGTAGATGTGAGAACAGTTTTGCTCGTATATATATAAGAAGACAATCATTTGACGAGTGCAAACGTATTGATTTATTTTTATTTCATTTTATTTATTATTTATTTATATTTTTTGTTTGGTAAAACGTAATAAAATCAACATTTCTGTTCAGGAAATAGTGATTGAGATGGTTTAATATGATAAAATCAAATACAAATATGCACTGGGTACTATATATATATATTTAGTCATCTTTAACTGTCTTGACCATATTCTGGTAAACATTTCAATATTGCAAAAAAAAATTAATACTTCTACATAATTCATAAATATAAAGCGAAAGTAAGAATTTGGTCTTACGTAAAGCTATTTCTTGTAATATTATGATTATCTTGAAATTACTTCTGATGATAAAATTTATAAAACGTGGACCTCACCAATAATTGTATTTCTCGTAAACGGAAATACTGCCCGGACGTTGGTTCTCAATTTATGCGCACATTGAAAACTTCCGCTACACGTGTTTGACAGACATAGGTAAGTGAGTTATATTTCTTTTTACCGTAAAATAGAGTAACTATACCCCTCTTTACTCTGATTGACATTGTTTATTTGATTCTATGTGTGTCGTATGACGAACTATTATTGTTTAATTATCAAATATCTTTATGACAAGACGACAGTGTTGCAGTTGAATCTTGTAATCATTGTCGGTTGGTTTCACTCACTATATCCTAGACATGAGTGTGAAATGTTTGTTACAAGTGAAATATCAAAATTGGTGTAAAGATACTCACGTATTTGTATATATTTCAAGTGGGAACGGATCACTAAATTACGCTTGATGGAATATATATACACTTAATTATCGAGATTTCATGATGATTTCAAAGGCAATAATATTCTTAAGACCCAATCTTATACTCAAAGATTGTTTACAAAATGGTTTATATGTAAAAGGACGATTGTCAGGTTCCCAAAATAACTATAATTGGTCATAGCGTGTAATACGTCGGCGATATGTTTTGTACGTTTTACAATCTACATTTCATTGTATGGACTACCAACTTGTTAGACTTGACTTTGTGTTGTCTAATGAGCCGTTACATCGCAAACTAATTGTACAATACAATATTGTATAGATAAGTCTATCATTTTGTTGTACTCGGGGTGATATCGTACGAGTTTGAAACATTTTACAGGGTGTAGAGTAATTTTGCAGACACCGTGCCAAGAAAGATAACTCGAACGAGCTTGAGGATGATTCTTGTGGCCATACGTCGTGTGGCATGTTCTACTTTTAAAAAAAAGACCAATGTTGGATTTAGATATCTAGGATTTGTGTGAATGATCTTTTGCTTTTTACATTTGTTTAGACCTATTTTTATTTTCCTTATTATCTAATTCTGTTTTTCGAGAGTCCTAGAAGAGGAACATTCGGCATACATTATTCATGTACATGTATACTTTGTTAATATATTTCCAGTGTTGATGTTGAGTAATGAGCTCCAGTTCCATTTCTGTCAAACTTGGGTTGGGGCATGCATGTACATATTTCAAAACCGTTTTTGAATAAATTTGTGAAGTATACAATTTTTTTATCTTCCCTTTACAATTAGGTTTTTGTTAGATTGTAATAATGTACCAGTTCTGCTCGTAAGCGTTTGTAAAAATAACCATTATGACTACAAGTTTGTAACATTACCGGCATTTTAGGATATTGATGATTGGGTTTCATCATATATAACGCTAAGTTACACAAGCACTCTTACTAGACTGAAATAATGACGAAACATTAAGATTAGAATTATATATATAACATCAAAAAAAAACTGTGATCGAGTTTACTTACTATTTTACTTACTCAATATAAACCTTTTTCTACTCCGTTAATATCTTCTATGGAATGTTGATTTATATTGCAATATGGCTGCGAAGAATCGAATTATAAATTAAAATATCAGATTTCATCAGGAGATTGTGTTTAAACGAAATATCACTGTAAAGTTAATTAAATCACAATTGTAATCGTATCGGTATGACAAAGCAAAACAGTGGTTTGCATTTTTAACTTGTGAGTTCACACCATACCAGAATTGGACACCTGTGTAAATCTCATTTCTACGTATACAATTGTATACTATACAGCATCACTTCTTCACAATGTTGTGTTATATACTGATTTTTTCCTTCAGGAATTTGACATTTTGTTTGACACTTTTTCCCAAGGTAACTTTGTTAAAAAACGTCAACAACTGTAAACAACATACAACTGGATCTAATTCTACTTCAATATCTGAGATATCGTGTAGTTTGGAATTCGTTTTATTATCATCTGTCACTGAAATTACAGTTTTTGTTAAATTGATAAATTGTTAGGATGAAAGCGAAGCCAAGTCTTATTCTCTCCCGATCCCATCCGTGCCGAAACCTTGGTGGTAATAATATTTGACGGTCCAAAATTTTAGATTTCCCAAATTCAAAGTCATGGGCCCCATTTACAAAGTAGTGAAACATGTTGATTAAAAACATCACATGCCCCAGTACCGTAGCGGAACTCGACTTTAGGGGATTTTGTTGGTTTAAAAAAAAAAAAAAAAAAAAATGTTAAGGGGGACAGCCACTTTGGATAATTTCTTAACTATCAGAATTCCCATCACAGGCCTTTTTTGAAGGGAAAAATATCAGATTTTGAATTTGATAGCGATGCTTTAATTGATAACTATTCAAAAGACCATACGTGCATGAAATGTTATGTAAATGTCACCATTGCTAAGGTAAAGAAAACGGATCATTTATGATTCTTTGTAACACTGCATTTTGTTTTGCAATAGCCCACGTAGATATTTCATTTTAATTTAAACCTTTTCTGATTTTATTTTATTCTTAATTTTGAGCAATAAAGAAGGATTACATTGTTAGATATAACTGATACAAATACTGTTACCTTGTGCCAGACTTATGAACACTAACCATGTGAAAATCTTGTGTTTACCGGTTCTACATGTATATATTTAAGTTTACACATTTGTCATTGTATCGGATGTCTGTTCATATAGACTGTACAATATTCACGATTGCCAGTTTGTATAATACGTGCTTGCCTGGGCTAGGAACACGCCGGTTTGAAGTTACCTCACTTGTATACATGTCATTTGCCCTTACTGTAGATAACAGAGATAAATTGGGATCGATTTACACCTTGTTTCAACTTTCTGATTTTGTGTACTGACTGTACTGAAAGTTAGACGTATCCATCATCTACATGGTATCGATAATCTGATTCATTTTCTTTCGAATTTCGAGGACGACTGATAAAGATCGCTAGAACATGTGAAAAGCCGCAATGTGTTTCGGTAAAGGCTACCATTCACCAGCTTCTCTGTCGGCTTTTTATCCATAAATTTACGTTCCTGTTTTTCATTAAACAATTGTTTTTATTAGAAATAGTAATAAATCATTCCAAAATGTTAATTTATGAAGTAATCACGGCATTCAGTAGATCCTTGAGAAATTGCTTTTGACTCCTCAAAACAACAAGAAAATACCAACCTGCGAAGATAATCATACTCTTCATTGAAATTCAATAGAGCAAAATATGAACATGAGAAATATTCATATGGACACTCATGAAAAAGCACAAGTAGAATAAGACCAGGTGTTCCGGAAGGGAAAGAATTTTCCTGCTTCATCGATGACGCCGTCAGGTAAATCTTGGTCAATCTTAAGTAAAATATCGTTCTCAAATAAAAACAAAGTATTCCATAACGTAACCTATAGGCAAATTAATTAGAGCATCAAACACGTCCAGCGTCACATCGCATAAAGGAATAGTTCCGCTCTTGAATTATAAGGGACATGTCTATTCCACATGTGTTTCGGATACGTGATTTGACCGATATTGCCAGACATCAACTAGATGTCTCGCTGGTGACAAATTTTTAAAAGTCATGTCCGCTCTTCATGTGATAGTATAAGATACTTAAGATTTTCATCGCATATCATCTTTGATATTCTACTTCTTGATTTAAATAGACGATGACTTCAAAAATTGTACTAAATCTTTTGTATCTTACATAAAGCACATTTTACAAATTATATAATTATTCAAATTTTCATTATGATGAACTCATTTAAATCGTACACAATCAAGGTATTGCGATATATCGATATTAAGACGCCATGATTTATTAAAGATTTAAAAAAAAAAAGTAAACATTTTCGTTTTGCTGAAACTGAAGTTTCGAGTTTCAGGGATAATTACAAAATTAATAGTACAATACCGCCTTCCAAATGTAAGGAGACGGAATATCTGTTGTGGGAAAGACACGAATAACTGAGACCATGGGATGGTTTCACTACCATACAACACCTTGGTAGCTGTATTAATGAGAAGGTTTCTAATACAGGAGCTCTCCTTACCAGATCTTATCATGTGTTTTGTACCTAGTTCGCTAGTTTGTGTCCTGCTGTGAAGAAAAGCATGTGAACACAGAAGATACTCATTTTTAGTTTTAAGAAATCTGTCTGGTTTTCGTTACTATCCCAAAAATACAAACACGTGTATTACATGTACTCTGAGTGTACGTGACTGCAGGCCTATACGCCCATCGTGATTGTCTGCGGTCCAGGTTTTACGAGCGAGACGACAGGACACCACAATTTTAACACCCATTTACTCCCTATGTGTAGAGCTCGTTAGTTAATTTATTTCTGGAAGTCTTTATTGTTAACAGTTAAGGTTTGGAATGTGGCGATTAGTGCAGTCATGCCGAGATGAACTTCTGCATATTTCATGTTTAGGGTTTCGCCTTTATATAACACTGACGTCACTGTTGGGATGGTTCGGAGCTTTGGCATATTTCCTCATTTTTTATTTTTAGATTTCGTTTGATATTGTGCTTAGACACTTGAATCTGAGATGTTAAAAGTTTGCTTATTGTTTTCAAAATATTCGACATAGCAGGAAATTGAAAAAGATCTTAGCAGCTAATCCGCTGTAGAATAGATGTGTTCAAAATATTCAACATATCACGGAATTGAACAAGACCTTAGACAGCAGCTAATCCGCGGTAGAATGGACGTACTCAAAATATTCGACATATCAGGGAATTGAACAAGACCTTACTTGAAAGCCCCAATATACGTAAAAATCACAATAAAAAAACAAACTTTATCTTATTTTCCCCGTAATATATGTAACAAAACAAATACTTTCCTTTAATTAAACAAAATAAAACTGACTGTTTTCAATTTAAATAAAAATTGAAAAAATCGGAAAATAAACAATGTGGGACCCACAATAATTCATACATTACCGCTCGTAGCGATGACATTGCGCATGCGTATATTCCGCGTGTAAACAAGGCAGACACAGTACAGACGTCCACCAGTCGCTTCCTTTCTTTCCAATCATACATCAGGCCAGTTCTGAATTCTTACGTTATAATTGTGCGTCGTATCGTTTCTAAACTAATTATTCCTTCTAATAATTTCCCAAAAAACTGACTGTTTATCACAGGAATACCTCAAGTCTACGACAAGACTTCGCAAACAATGTTTGTAAACAAAAACTTACCGTAGACATATCTGCATGTGCTTCCTCTATAAGTAGGAACCTCAACTCTCGCGAGATCAGGTCATGAACTTTCCGACGTGTTCGACAACAATCGTAATTTCGATGGCGGCGTGTTTAAAATGGAGGGGTGTTTACAAATAGCGAGTTTCAACTGCTCATATCAATACTTTATGCACAAAGTCATGGTAACTATTGTTTGAATAACTTAATTTTAACTACATCTTAGAGAATATCTCAATAATTATGTGTGATTCTACACTAAAGTTTTGGTGAATGTTACGTATATTGGGGCTTTAAACAGCAGCTAATTCGCTGTAGAATGTCTCCTTATAGGGCACTGGTTTGTATATCACCAATAACTTCCCTCAACAGCGATTTACACTCTAAACATATTCTGGATTTATAAAAGGGTTTATTTATCTAGTAGGAGAATTATGAACAGTTACAATAACAAGATCGGAAAGAGATTGAAATTGTTTAGAAAATGTGTCAATTGTTGACGAAACATCAGAGTAATTCGGATTAAGCTAACTTTTACATTAGTTATATACCATTTCATTACTTCAGACAACGTTAGAACCGTTTATCAAAAGCACGGACATTTAAAGTAGTAGTGAGAATGGATTGGGTAGACCTTGTATATTTGGGACATTCTGTTGTTGATGTTACAATGGTTCTCAATCGGTTCGTGGTTTGTTATGTTAGATTCTATATTTGATTCTGGGGTTAGTGCACTTACACGTCTGGTGTTTGAAATTTCGTTTTCGAACTGTTTGGATTTTCCACTGTCACCTCCTTAGTTTGATTCATTGTGACTCTGTTGTATCCGATTCTTAATTATTTGCTGGCGGGAATATTAAAATGGGTTCCGTCCGTCCTTTCGTCCGTCCGGATGCTGCTTCCCGCATGATATCTTTTGAAGGACTGGTAGGATTTTGATGAAACTTGGTTGGTACACTTCTTACCTTAATCCCTTGCCCAAGTTCGATTAATGACGAATTTCGCGCATATTTAATGAGGCTGCTGTGTCCTGATTGACTGATTTTTTTAATCATTCACGGATGCTGCTTTCCGCATATCTTTTGAAGGACTGGTCAGATTTTGATAAAACTTGGTTGGTATACTTGTTACCTTAATCTCTTGCTCAGGTTCGATTAATGGTGAACTCCGCACATATTTAATGAGGCTGCTGTTATCTGATTGGCTGATATCTTTTCTAGTTTTCATGTTGCTGACTATAAAATTATATAACCTCGTATTTTACCAATGAACATGGACGGGGGTCCCGATGACTATGTCCTTGTTTGTATTACAATGTGCTATTAACTTGTGTGTCCTTCGTTCAATCTTGAAACTATGTGGGATAACTTTCGCCATTTTGATGAAAACGATAGAAAGGAAAACTATCGTCTGATGAAATCAAATGACAGGAAAACTGTCGATTGATCAAATGAAAATGTAAAAATTGTCATGAAATAAAAGAAAAATCCGATATAAATGGCACATTTTTTATTAACAGTTATAAAGTCAACATACAATGGATCTATAGCACATTTACTTTCTAAGTTGAGTAGCAGCAACTGGTCATGTAACGTATCCTGTCGGAAAAAAATCAGAACCAGATCTCGTTTTTTGGAGATATTTCCGGAATTTAATACGATCAGAACCAGTAGATTTAATCATGTTTTTATAAATGAGACTCTTAGTTCATGGTTTAGCAGTGACTTATTGACTTCGGTTTGGGTAGAGCAGTTAAAGGATACTCGGTCTACACGTGAGGTTAATACGTTGCCTTATTTGATATCTGCCAAGAGAACTATGATACACTCAGCTACTTTAACAGTTTTGATAAAAGTGTACATTTTTCAGGTAAAAGTATATAACATAGTCTCGTGTATTTATAGCAACTATACTGAATCATATACTAAAACTAATACTAAAAAGATTTATATACAAATAAAAAAACAACAGGACATGGAGTACACTAAACCCTCGATATGATGCCACAAAGTTGTTTAGACTTTTAGACCTACCAGGAACATAGACGTTTGTATATACGTCTACAGATTCCTGTATACGCCCATATTGACCCCCAAGTGTCATTAAACATTTCTATAACGTCATGATAATTTCGTAATGGTAAGGATATATTAACAGATCGAAGTCCAGTTACTCCATAGTCTTACATATCAACTAAATACATTCATCCTCTGTAAGTACGTGTAGTTAAAAACCGTTACATATATATACATCAATATTAAACTGTAAGTTTTCGTCCCTCTTTCTTCGTGACCTTAGCTACACAATGTCAGACTTGTTCTACTCTTTATAAATCCGTAAACATATTCGCCTAATTTTTGTGTTTGTTCATTATTTATTGATTTTTGGAGAATTATTTCTAATTAAATAAGACAGAATTTAAATTTTGATAATGATACAAGTTCAGTGTTAATAGCCGATTGAAGTTTTTATCTATAATCTCGCTTTCAGAAATTTCGGATTCGAGCATTCGGATATGAATGGTTGTATTGCAGCTTTAAGCATTGCAGAATACTGATACGGATGGCTTGAAATAAGGAGGCGCGTGTGGACTTTAAAAGTAGAACTTCATCGTTGTTGTGTGCTTGTCATGAATACAAAAAAGATTAAAAGATAAATATATACTTATATCTACACACAATTAGGACGTAAACGTCATGTCTAAACGTATCAACGCATATCACAAACATATTTATACAAAATTGTTGCCATGGTTATGACGCTGATTTTGACGGTTATACATACTGGCGCATCTTATTATGCAAGTAAACTACAGTCATAACACTAACACAACTACTGTATGTGAAAACACAGACCACGTGATAGTTCGGAAACAATGTTCTCCGGAAAATTATTCCAGAATATAATGTATCCGGATATTGAAAATATAATGGGTTATTCCATTCTTTAATATAAGCATCCGGAAATCCAGACAAGATTGATGATATGAACAAATATTCTAAGGATTCTTTGTTCTCCACACACCTGCCACGATAGTGCATTATGATCAGTCTACAACTGTGTATGAAACACGTGACGTGCGCTGAATGTTCCAGGTCCCTTCCGCGTTTTACTTCATGCTGAAAATGCTGGAATATCTTAAGATGTAAGATGACTTTAATTTAAAGTATCTGTATTTATGACGTTCATTGTTTGTCTTGACGAAATAATAAGTTCCTATTCAAATTCTCATAAATGACAAATATTTCCACATGATAAAATTATATCATTGATACTATTGACAAATTAGCATCACGTGAAAAAAAGCGTATGGTAGGTTTTTGTCAGCACTATTTCTAATCCCTTATCACAAGATGTCCGAGTGCTTTTCAGCATTTCATGTAGGTCTTTAACAATATGTCTCGGACATCAATGTGGTTTTGTAATATCCGTCAACAGTACAATTCGCTAAAATACCATTAAAACTATGGTTTTAATATGATAGGCATAGCACATCGTTTGAAGATCACGATTTGACCTTGAAGGCCACGCTGTAGAAGCAGTCTATACACAAGGATAAATTTCTTCACGTCGAAGAGCACACAATGTTACACCAAGAGCAGTACACTTTTCATTTCTCGAGACACATTGCGTACTTTAAGTTTTTATCTTTGTCCGTGTAACCGGCAATAATCTTGGGCAGGAAGCCACTTTCCTCATTTCTCTTTATAATTGTACGCATGCTGTTTTCTGTTAGCTCAGCGTTAAACACCATGTTTCTTTTTGTGTCCCGAATGAACACTGCGGAAAACACTGGCTTCCCAAAATAATCGGATGCATCAAGGTAGGCTAGCTTCCTCCTGTACCTGGCATTACCTTGTACTATTTTAGTCAGTCGATATAAGGTGATGTCGTCATAGGATTTAAAGTCCTTTTGTTCCTTTGCGTCAAGGTCTTTCTCTAAAACGAAGGAGACGAGACCATCCAGACCTTCGTACATGAGTGACTGGGAGGTTGGATAGTACCCGTTTTCCACAAACAGGTGAAGAAGTTTGTCGTACGGCTGGGTAAAATGTTCCAGACCGTACTTTATCTTGGTGTGGTTGTTGTAGGCGTGTCGCCTGAAGTTGGCCACGAACACCTTTTTATCACGATGAGAACTACTCCGGTAGTTTTGGAAGAACGTGAGATTGTATCCTCGTTTTTCCTGTACAACTTTACGGTGGTACAATTGTTTCTCGGTGAGTCCATGCTCTATAGTGAATTCGTTATAGATGGAGCGGTTTTGTTTTTCAGCGATAACCGTAAACCATGTCTGGTTCTGGTACGAGAGGCCGTTCAGCCAGATGATGTCGTAACGGAGTTGTTTGGCAGCGTTGATGAATGACGTCAGATGGTGTTCGTTGACCTTGAACCTGACCGTACGGTGTACGCCCTGGTACTGGGCAGACACATCCACGATATCATTGACGAAATAGTCATCAGTTGACCAGTTGGTACTGCTAGTCTCCATCATATCATAGATGATGTGTCTGATAGGTATGAAGGTCTGTCCATGCATGATGACCGCCCAGGCTCGTGCACGGCCCCCTGTGTCAACGTCATGGGTACCGTGATTGGGCCGTAACAGTGGACCTTTATGGTAAAAGACGAGATCATCCGTGTAATATTCTCCATTTATCCACACCGCGCCATGGGCGTTCACATGGAATCCTGCACCAATCCACGAGTCATGGTGCTGGACTGGCGCTCCTTCAGGTTTGGCCATAAGTGATGCGATGGAAGTCCTGTTTAGAAGTTGGAAGTCGCCTGAACCATCCATACACATGAACAGACGGAGCAGATCTGCCGAATTAGATTCCCATCCGAGAGCAGAGTCGACAAATATGGGCAACACGTCACCAAATCCCTGGAAAACTGGTTCCATATCACCATGTTCGCGTTTATATACACGCGGTCGTCCGATGCGCGTGTGCATCAGTCCGCATGGTTGAAGAATGCGATCCTTAACATACAGAGAGTACTCTATACCGGAGACCTGTGTGATCACCTTACCCAGGATAATATACCCTAGGTTTGATACAACGCTGTCGGTGCCAGGCGTGTAGTCAAGACGCCGCGACATCATGTAGCTGATGACATCGTCCGGTTCAATAGGTTGCGGAAGGTCCATCTCGTCGGCGATATTTTTGACCTTATATCCTCTCTCAAGTAAAGCAATATTAAGTACAGGGTCGTAAATGTTAGATCGTTGTGAATCCCAACCCGCATTATGACGTAGTAAATGATCAACAGTGATGTCATATATCCGACGGTCGACGTGATCAGCTCTCCATGGTTCGAACGTACTCAGTATGCCATCAGGACCGAACACTTTAGCTCCCAAATCAAGCTGTCCCTCTTCTACCAGTTTTAAGGCTGCTAAGGCTGTAAAGGCCTTTGAGGCCCCAGCTATCGACATAACGGATTCGGAACGGATATCTGTCCGAGTGTGGTCGTGTCCGTATCCCCGGAGGAATGCCAACCGCCCGTCCACGTATACTCCCACCTGGGCTCCCGAATATCCGTTGCCATGGTAAAATTCTTGAAAGGACTTCTCAAAGGTGAATCTGTTGTCGTTCGAGAGGGAGGCTGAAAAGACAAAAATAATTCTTCATTAACGTCGTTTGTAAAATCGTTTATTTCTTTCCAAATCAAGTTTAGGAGCAATTGCTATGATATTCATGACTGCACAACAAACTAAAGAGATGTCAACTGAACGTTAATTATAACATATCAGTTTATGAACGGTTTGAGTTATTAAATACTAAAGTTAAGGAAATAACAGTTATTAACTTCTTGTTTAAATCTTACAACTTAATTAGCTTTACGGACTTTCGCAGTTAATTAGAATAAAACATAACCTGTCCTGCCACTAGCGCTGCCGATGTCGTCGGAATAAACCTGCCATATATATTATTGCAGTATTCGGCAGTGACGGAAAACAGCTGTATTTTGACACATGCGGTAATTCGACAAAATTACTTCCTGAATTTACTCAAATATTACATTTAGAAGTATAAATAGTTGTTACATGTTGTAATGAACAAGTTGATTTATGAAAATTAATAAAATCGCTGTTACATCCGATGAAGTTTGGAATTATGTTTCCGCAAAGAGCAGTTATTTTGGCGTCCGTCATCAGGCAAAATTCAGCGTAACGTCAGTTTCAGGTAAACACAGATTGAACAACAAAACTGTTCGGTTTTAATAGTCTGATTTTTAATCAGTGGTGTAAGATAAATAGCTTATATGGTCATTGTCTTAAAATATAAGTTGTAATTTGACTCGGGACAGAAAGACAAAAGTCGCTTACCAGAGGCTCGTCGTCTTTTTACCCTCATCAAAATACAGCTTACGTTTTAAGACACTGACCAAGTATTAAAAAGAGCCTAATGAATCAATGAAAATATCTAACACAGACTGACTGGTCGTTTGTAAACTGTATCGTCAGTCATTCAACAGGTTTAACAAATCAATTATGATAATTCCTTTTAGAATTGATTACTTTATCTTGTATTCGTTTGAAGTTGACAGCATATATATATATGAAGATATAGACAACCAAACAAGTGTTTGCATAACCAACGAGTTGACGCAAAAATTAAATAAACCAGCGCTATTTTGGTACAAAGGATGCTTTTTCTTTCTGGTCTGTATGACAAGTTTTAACACATGGATGGTGACTTTTTTGACACGGCAGTACTGTATCTAAGTATAAATTTCTATCAAAAGTTGCTAATCATTTGTGTGTTGATGTATTTCTTTTGTCTTTTTTATCATTGAAACATGAAACAACGGAAGGTTGAGGTCTACTTCTAACCTACCACTACCGTGTTAACACTCTCTGTTGACGGATACACGTGGTCTAAATTAGTACATTTATCTCCCTAAGTATCTCAACTGTCGCTCCCATCATCCACAACAATTTGTCATGTATTGTCAAAGGGATGTGGACCTTTGTGAACCAGTATTGGTGAAGTCTTCATTCGGATGTACGGTCGGGCGACTAAGTGGATGACACTGGTATGTACCCATAGCTTAAGTAAGCGGACCTTTCTGATCAAAATGAGTATACTTCTTAGAGCAAAGGGGGGATTGATTTCTTAAAATAACATATATAATGTTTTTTGGCATCTCTTTCTTTGTGACACCTATGTGGAATTTTGGCAAATGATGATTGATAGTGAAGGTAGCCTGTCTTGGTGGTGATGAATGGAGCAATAGTAATTGATGTTGTTGTTGGTGATAGGAATATCCGGTGGTAGATAGGGGTGAGAATAAATAGGGCTGGGTAGGTAGGTAACAGTATAAATAGTAGTAGAACATACTGTTCAGCACAACATACATCGAACAACTATGTAACTTTATCTGCTTTAAAATTCGTTGATAAACTTTAAAGTTAAATAAATCTACAGTCATTGCTAGCAGCGTTTTACTCCCAACAACCGGCTATTGCACTTAAATAAAAAGGTATTTTCTTTAAATGAAAACAATATGGATATCAACCTATTTGTTTTTAAGTAATTCTACTTTATTTTCTCAGTTTATGAAGGCACAGACGGTTGTAAAATCAAGGTAGATACAACTAGTTTTTGTTTCAGTTTTCTGTTGTATGAACTGAAGAATATGACGAAATGAAATCAGGAGTACATTTAGATATCTTGGCCTAGATATCTCCAACATAAATCCGGTTAAAGTTTGAATTCTAAATCTTCTAAACTCGGAAGCGAAAACCCAGCCACAGGCAGACACAAGGTCGTTGGTATTGTGTCCAAATTTAAACATATTTGCCATAAAGGGTACACCGCCGACCAAGAGACATTTAAGGAATGTGACAACTAATTACATGTTTTTCTAGTGACACAGTCGGGTGATTTAATAGGGTATATACATCCTACATACGATCCCAGTACGTTTGGGTACACAGTCCTGACGAGATAACGACTCATCACCTGAACGCCCGAATGTAAATTGGTTCTGTCAGCAAATAGGCTGGTTTAGGTGTATACCTATATAAGACGTTAAATGACGTGTAATCTAGACACCATTTTATTAGGTGAAAAATCGTCTAAATTGTAAACATGTCTGTGTATGCTGATCAGGTTCTTCAATCAGTGATAATTTTGATGGGGAAACATTTAGATAGAAAACATTCTGGCATCAGAAATAGTGTTAGATCATTTTGTATACTGTAAAGTAATATATTTTCGTGGGGTTCAAATTCTCTTTGTTTCCATAAAAATATTCATTTTCGTTCATTTGGAGATAAATCTAGAACACAAAATCCACTGGTATTATAATCCAGGTCAACTTTGATCAGTTTATCGTTTCGTTGACATCTGCATTCTTATACAGTGTATTTACATTAACCACTAAAACAATAAACCCCATTCAAAATGAAGGATTTTTCAGTATTCTGTAAATAAACTTAAATTTTCAAGGATTTAGCAATATCATTTGAAAACAACATTAAGCAACATTTGATGTCTGAGTGTACGGACGTTTGAAGTATCACATGGAATAAAAACCCTGTTGATGTTATATCACAATTATCGCCAGACTGGTTTGACAGGAGGATTTGTGGATCCATATCTAGTATTACCTCAAAACATTTCCGAACTAGGTCATACACAGCTTCTATTAGAGTTTGGTCATTGACCAAATTAAATGATATCACTGACATATAATTGTAAATAGTAAATAAATCGTTAACGAGTTTTATCCATGTACACAATAACTGAGTATGCATCAGTAGAGAGTAAAACATGTACCATTTCCTGTGATGATTTCTATTGCTATATTGCTTTGTCTGTAATCTTCATTCACTTAATTCACTCATCGTCCGAAAAAATTCCATACTTTCCAATTGTGTAATTACACGAAGGCAGTGATATTTTGCATCGTGGTTGAAGGGTACTCCTTTTCTGGTCTACAAATGTTACATCAAATGTTAAATTTTATAATTTAAATGCAAAGAAATTCCCAAGTACACAGGTTTGATGATAATGAAATCGACATGCATGCATGTGGACATGAACATTGGTTCCCATGCATTTTACTTCATTCACGAAAATATTCACTCGAACGATTCATGCTTTGTATGATATCTATAGGTACATATTTACATGTTTGAAGAGAGAGAATCGTACACCTGAATGGATATCTAGTATTATATACACCGACAAAGAAGTACCTTTAGTCTACCTAGGAAAGGGGGTGATTGAAGCTGCAAACCTGCTTACAACACAGTATTAGAATATTGACAAGGTTTGATAAAAAGGTAATATATATGACAGTCTAATGATGGGTTGTCCTTTGATCTTCCCTAGATTTATGTCTCAAGTGTCATATGAGTAATTTCTGAGCTTGAATAAACGTCTCCTGGTGCATTGTAAATGTATTTGATCCTGAAGAAGGTTGCCCAATACAAATGCTGAGGCACTTCAAGGGATCACTTACATAATTATTTTCTCTTCTTGTCAATTTATTGAATGGTCCAATCTTCCATATTTTGTGCCAGAATTGTATTTCGTGATCTTCTGTAAATATGTACTTTTTCATGGAACCTATTCTTATGACATAAACAACGCCTCTTTGTCGATTTACAAGGACTAGTACAATATTCATTACAGGTTTTTTAAAAACTGTTTTTGCTGAATATTACCTTCAGTTAGGAAACACGAGGACAATGGTTGTTTGTAAATCGTTGCTGTGGTATTAATACGAACTGACAGATCCCCTCTAATTTCCCCTTCGGGTTATAATATATACGTAAATAGGAAATGAAATTATTCATTCAAATTTTATTTTTTAATGCAAGAATAAAATTGGAGGCTTACGTGTGAAGAGTACATGATATGCGTTATATGAGTTTTATGAATGAAAATCGACCCCAACACTCGTTGAGAATTCACAATCCAGGTAAATAAGTATTGATATGGAAAATGAAATTATTCAAACCATACTAATCCACACAAATTAGTTTGTGAGAGGAATTTATTGCTCTATACTCTTGTAAATATATTTAGTAGGGTATATACATGGGGTTTGGTATTCAAGTGCATGAAGCAATTTGTAATGATAGTATCGAGCCGTGTTCTGACAATTATTCGTTTCAAGCTAAAGCTCACATGTTATGAAATGTTATTTAGGAAGAAAACTGTTTAGATTGCACCAAAGACACACAATTCAGGTGAATAGCACTTTTTATTCAGTAGAGCCGAACAATGAATTAACTGTGTCATATGATTGTTGCGTCCTTCTAGGACTCGTCAGTTACACCAATCGCCTAAATTTTGAATCGAAAGAACGGTCTAAATCAAGATTGGTAGGTGCACTATCCCACAATTCAATAAATTTCATATCTATGTTATTATACTCATTAAAATGCATTAAATGTATTGAGAGTATACTCATCTACTACGTCCATCACAACTTTCCTTTCATGACTTTGAGTTTCATTTATAGTAAGATGCATACTTAAGTTTATTATTATGTCTATGGGGTTTTTACTACAATCTCAGTATTGAGAGTTTGAACAGATGTATTATAGTTTCCTAGCCATACTCCAGTGTCCTATACATATGGAA